GTGTCTCCTGGCTCCCTCCAACCTTCCTAGTGAGACGACACCCATCAGCAAGTGTGTTGACGCGTTTGTGGACCTTCTGACCTGTGTCACGGATTGCTGGCGCAAGGTAAACATGTTCTTTGCTGTTACACTGTAGTTTTGCTCTTTTATTCTTGTCCAAATATTATATTAATTCAATATGTGCTTTTACAGGTGTGTGTTGTGGACTTTCCTCCACGTCTGAGTTTCGACGATGACTTCCAGAGAGCTCTTCAGCAAGAATATCGTCGTGCTGCAGCTGATGCCAGTTAGTATATTCACATATTCTCTTTTTTAATGTACCTCTTAATTGATTTGTTTTATACCATGACGTACCATGTGATTGCTGACCAGTTTCCAGTGACAGACACCAAACTGTGGGCAAGCGATGGAGTAAGTACAATGATAAAGCATATTTTTTAAACATTCTTAAAATGCAGCCTTTAACTATTTTTTCTGTCACACAGACCCATCTGAGTGATGAGCATGGTCTGCCCATCCTCATGGACCAGGTGTGGGCAGCCTGCTACACCAAGTTGGAGTGCCCTCCTCCCAGCCCTCCCAAGCTGCCGTTTCCCACCTACGCCAGACCCCGCCGCCACTGCCGCCGCCGCCGTCCCACCGCTCCTGTGCCTGTGTCTCCTCCAGCTCCCGCTAGACGAGGCAGGGAGCAGCGCAGTGTACCTTGTGGCAAGGTGAGTCATAAGAGTCTAGATATATCAATTTAACATTGATTTCATGTATATATTTGGCATTTATAATAGTTACACTGTGTACATATTAACTAAATTCTGTCCTTTTCTTTGTTTGTTACCAAAGGTATCCGAGGAGTCATCGCCTGAGACAGCACAGAAACCATCTCCTGTGATTGCACTGCAGGTTTGTAAAGTGATAATTTTTTTTCTAAAGTTTCTTGTCAGAGAATTCATTGTTGACCCATCTGTTGTATTTACTTTAAGGTCACAGAGTTTGGCATCCCACTGTCCCCTACGGTGTTCAGCCCTGCCATGGCTGCAGAGATGGAGAAGATCTGTCCCTCCAGCGGTGAAGAACCTGATGTTATGGTGGAAAAGGTAATTTTGACTTGCTGAGGCATAAATTGATCACTATATTGGCCATTATTGGATATGAATAAATAGTAACTATGCTTTTTCTTTGTTTAGACTTCTTCAATCAAGCGAAGGAAGGTCCAGAAGACCAAGCGCCACGTGAAGCATCAGGTTGGTTCCCATTTCCTGGTTTATTAGTTTAAATTATTGAGGCTCAAATAAATCTAAAAAAAATTTACATATTCTTCTTACACAGAAGGCCAGTGAGCGGCGGGCATCAACTAGACGAGCATCCTTTGGGAGCCCTCCATCTTTTGAGGTTCGTTATTGCTTCTCAGGTTACATTTTTAATATGAAATGTTTAATATAATTAATTATAAATGTAGAGCTTGGTTTAATACATTTTTGTTTTTAATAGCTGCGCTTGGATGACCTGCAGACTGACCCAGTGTGTCCATCACCGTCGGGGGAAAACCTCAGTGGCATCTTTTTGGACAAGGTAATTCATCACCATTTATATAAATGTTCTCTTCTATAATAGCATAATACCATAATCAAGTTCTATAGTAACATTATTACTTTTGTGCCCTTACAGTTGCCAGAGACTACATCCCCACGCAGCCTACAAGATCACCAGTCAAGCTCTGATGAAGACTGCAAAGTTAAGTCAGTTTATGCTGTTGATGGCCGCCGTGCCGCAGATGTTGTTGCAAGCTCCTGTGCATTGAGTGTTTCTGCTGTTGGCCGCCGTGCCTTGAATGTTGCTGCTGGCCGCCGCGCCAAGGTTTCATTAGATGTAACAGATGCTGAAATGCTAACTGTAGCTGGCAGTCAGAGTGACATTACACTTAATGTTTCTGATGCTAAAGTACTTGCTGTTGCTGGTAGTCCTAACATTGAGATCACAGATGAGGAAATACTTGCTGTTGAAAATCCTCCTTCATGTGTTGCTACAGACAGTCAGAATAGGCCTTCTTTTCCTGTCCGAAACAACATACGGGGTTCTTTTCACCAGGGTGTCCAGTCATTACTGCACCCTGGTACTCAGTGCATGCCCATAGCTTTAGTTGCTATTGCCCAAAATAAAAGGAAAAATGTGTTAACATGGACACAGTTTGATTTGGACAATGTAGTTCGTTTGGGTGATCAGATGTATGCTAAGCATCATAAACCTGATCAACATATGTTTATGTCTGTTGGTGATTTGCCAAAGGAAGACATCGTTGACGGGCAGCACTTTACATTTGCATTTGGTGATGTTGTTACTGGAAATGTAGATGTAAATGACAGTGAATTCATTCGGGCTGGTGCATGTTTTAGCTTAAGAGATGGTTTAGCCAAGATTGTTTCACAGTATGATTCTTGCCTTCTTACAATAAATAGTAACACCTGTGCTATTATTGGTAATAATGGTTGCTATGCTGTAGTTGATTCTCATTGTCGTAGTGCTGCTGGTTTATTTGATCCTAAGGGCATTGTAGCGTATTTTGGTTGTTTTGAAGATTTATTTCGACACATTTGCTCATTGGCTGCAGGTTTTAAAAACAGGCTGTTTGAAATTCAAGGTGTTGTTGTTAACTTGACCACTACACATCCTTGCATAGACAGTCAGATGCAAAATGCTCCTGTGTTTGATTCAGATGTACAATGTATTGGAGAGAGTATCACACCCATGTTCTTTAAATCTTTACATGAACAAGTCTGTAGAGAGCTGTGTAATACCTTGAATGTGGATTATGAAAAACCTGATTCTCCTCCAGTTGACATTGTTGGTTTGTTGGGCTGTCCGTGCAAAAATGAAAGTATTGTTGCTGATGGTAACTGTTTTTTCCGTGCAATTTCCCAAGCAGTTTGTGGCACACAAAAATATCACAGAAAATTTTGGTTAGCAACAGTAAAACAGCTGAAAAAATATCCTAATCTATACACAAATTTATGTGAAGGTTATTCTTCTGTTCAAGAATACATTCAAAAAACTAACATGGACAAAATTCACACTTGGGCTACTCAAGTTGAAATTCAAGCAATGGCTGATTATTTGGGTGTTAATATCTATACTTACACAAGTAATCGGTGGCTTAAGTATAGTTCTAAGACTAAATTGTTATCAGATACTGGAATTTATTTGCAACATTGTAATGAAAATCACTATGAAACTGTCATCTGTGTTTCTTTGCCTCATGGACAGTTTTGCTATACATTGTGTCACCAAAATAATGTACCACCCTACAAAACCCGATCACAGAGAAAAAACACCAATGACTTACAAGAACTTAATACATGTTTAGTCAATTCAGCCAGGCGCTCTAAACATGTTTTAAAGAAACAAGTCATGCTCCAAAAAGAAAAATATCAAACAGACAAATGTGTACTGTCAGCTTCTTCTGGAGGGGCCTGAAAAGAGCCTTAAAAGAGAGTCCAGAAGGATTAAAGGTGTTCACAAACATGTCTCTTTATTAGGCTCACACAGGTACAGATCTCTTGATTCAAGTTGATTCACACAGCATCTCTCCACGTCACCTCTCCTAGTACAAGAAGAGCTGACAGCTTTATACTGACCATCTCGTCAGAATATTGACAAACTGTAACTGGTATTTACAGGAAATTCACAGAAATGTTGACCTAGACAGTGTAACCACAGATAGTCATATGTTAAAGAGTTCAGATACTCCCCCTTTATGTCTCATATACATCACAAAGTCCATCATAACATGTCCCAAACTCATTGACATTTTAAAGTTCAGACACTGACTTCTCTTTATGACACATGTACAAGAACATTGAACCCCTTCCACATTGCATGGTGAATTAACATGAATGAAACACTAAAAATACAGAAATTAATTCCCACAAACTCCCTCTCTTGATCACACTTACACGTGTGATCATAAAACAAAGTTTAAAGAGACAGGTCACCTCCTCATATCAGTAAATACCAATAAAAATATCTTAGCTCTCTTTATTACAACACATCTCAGGTTTTACTAACATAATACACTTGAATAACATAATGCATGATCAAAACATGACTCTCGGACAGCAGAATAAGAGGCAAGGAGCACCTTTAAATTTAGTTTTATCTATATTTAAGTCAAAAGTTAAATCTGTAGGGTTTTAATCAAACCCAGTCATCAGGTTTGGGATGTCCGAATTGAAAATCAGCAAATAGTAATAAAATCTAAGAAATAAGTGCATGTGTCAGAACAGAAGTAACCAATTGTTTTACCAGTGATCTGAGACATGGGATGATGCAACATCCAATTTAACCAAGTATTTTCATTCAAATTTTGTCCTGTTTCAATTTCAGTAGTTTTAGTTGAAACATTAAATCACTCTCTTAAGTGGGCTTATCAGTTTAAAATTGTCATTTGTATATAGCCTTCAAAATGTAACTTTATTTTCCATTGCATGGTATAGAAGTAGTATAACTTTGGCAATCCCAATTGCATAATAATTTCTTTTATCAAACAAATGTCTCTACTTGAATAATATACTACAAAATTTACAAATTTAGGCATTTCTCTTTTGTACTTTTTGTTAATTTCAGTGCTCATTGTCTTTTACCCATTGTTGGTTGCCAATTCAGTTGTATGATATAGCTTGTCATTTTGATTGTCGGCTGCCATTTTTGTCCAGCTGTCCGAGGCCAGTAGTTTTATGGATAGAAACTATAACAGAACAGACAAAACAGACAGAAATTAGCATAATCAAAAATAAACATTGGGAATAAAAATTGAAATTTTTCAAAAAGCATATGGCCTATACTCTCCTTCTATGTTTTTCTCCCCCCTCTTCTCCTCCCTCTCTTCTGAAGCCCCAGTGGCAGAAGGTGGTCAGAGTTGTCCCTCAGGGTCTCTTTTTTCCAGCGACGTCTAGACGTGGTCGACTTTTCTCCATCTTCACCAGTAGAATGAAACATGAGTGACATGCCAGTTACTGCCTCAGTTGGTTCTCCCATGACATCATGGTGTAGGATGTTAGCACGCTGAAGCCCACTGTCCGTAGAGAAGACATATGAAGTTCACTTTGTACTGGCCTGGGAAGGCTCCACTGCGACCAGGTGTCAAGCGTGGACATAGAACCAGCACAGGCATCTCCAGACGAGGCGCTCAGATGGGCGCTCAGTGCAGTTGTCGAATGATGCTTCGAAGGCAGAACTGTTGACAGAAGTTGAACATGGACTGCGTCAGCTGGTAACAGAGTCGTCTGCAGAGTGGAACCTGCAAACCACGATGTAGATCTCATATCAGTCACAGCACAGCAGTCAGTCACATGCTCCTCCTTTCAGTGACTCCACGCTGAAGTCGTTGGTTTTAGCGGACATGATGAAAAAGACCACCAGAGTCACATCACTGCAGTGCAGCTTCTGTAGGTAGTTGAGGTGAAACAGAGACTCCAGGAAGATGTCAGCTCCTTTGTTGGAGAGCTCGTAGCATCTGGTGATAAAGAAAAACAGAGTCTCGTCCAGGTAAAAGTTCAAATGTCCACAGAAGTGTCCTCACGGAAACTTCTAGGTTTGCGTTACTGGTGACGTGGAAGTTCTGTAACTTGTAGATGGCTGAAAACTCCTTGGCATCGAAGCCTATCAGCCTCTTCTTCAAGTGCCTTTTCAGAAAACCATCAATTGATTTAATGTGACAAATGTGGTACATTGGGACATCTCATACTATTTTTGGTAGAGTGGATTACTATTAACTTTATTGTCATTTTAAAAAATTTTTCTTTTTTTTTTAAAATAGTAGATTGGTATTTTAGAGTGATTATTTCCTTCCTTCACTTTATCACTTCTTGTCCTTAGTCCAATTTCTAAACAGAAAATTCAACTTAGATGAAATTTGAAATCTCAATTTAGAAGCCAGCATTGCCTTATTACAGTTCTAATTAAGATTATTTATTTAAAATTTAAACAATTTTAGTATTCACATCAAATAACAGTTTATTTCACAATCATTAAGTAATTAAAGCAGGTTTCATAGGAAAATTCATGTCCATAAGATTAATACTGAGATCAAAAAAGGATTAAAATGCAAGTGAAGTCCAGGTTGTGGACAAACTAAACTAGGAAAAAGCAGAAATAAAAACAAAGATAAACCAAAGACAAACTCAGATTAATTCAGAACTAAACCATGATCAACCCAACCAGGTTTAAACTAGTACTAAACCAAGATTAACGCAGCTCTAACTCAGAACTAAACCAAAACCAGATTAGGTCCAAACAGGAACTAAACCAGGACCTATCCAGCTTTAAACCATATTTTAACATAAGATTAAATTTGTATACCAGCATTGAATCAGAACCAAACCAAGATTAGAATGGGACCAACCCAGAACTAAACTAGAAAAAGGACTGAATCAAGAAAAAAACAGAGCTAACCTGGTCTAAACCAGATGTAGACCATGTTTAACACTTGAAAAAATTAGTAAACCAGGACTAAACCTGAACCAAATCAATACTACACAAAGTCTAAACCAGAACCAGACTAAGATTAGACCAGGTCCTAATCAGATCGAGAACACTGGTTGCTTCTGTTCAACACTACAAAACGTGAATTTATTTTGACGGTAAACATTAAGAGACTACATTTAGACAAATAAACTTCTATTATAAACCATGTCAACTGAAAACCTCTAAAGGTAGTGTTTGTGCTAAGTCTGCAGATTGAGAATACATAAAAATAGGCATATCCTGTAGAGGTGATCTCAGATAATAGCTCCTTAGTTTTTTTATTGAAAATGTTCTAAAAGTGGGAAACTGATTTTATTTGCAGGATGTTTTGTCTCCTCTTAGTGGATAATTCTCATTTGGAAATGA